GATGCCCTGGGGGTAAGCAGATAAACATCAGATTTTCATTTTTGGATGAACTATCCCTTTAATGTTAATAATTTTAACAAAATAATAAGGATTGTGATTAGTATTAGTGTGCGTCCTCGAGTCACCTGTCAGTAAAGTTGACAGGTGCTAAATTTGAAATCTTAGTAGCCTATGCTAGTGTGAAACACAGACGAAAATCTGCACAGAAACCACTACTTTAAATCCCATAACAACAGAAACTTTGCCAAGGCTAAAGCTGCAGGTACGTATGTATAATGACCCAAGCTTTCTGAAAGGCTGAAATCTGACTAGCTGGAGAGCTTGTATATTATAAGCATGATATTATAAAGACAACACAAATTAAATAATTGGCCTTTTTTATGCTGATATTGTACTAAAACATAGGCTAATTAAAATATCTAAAAAATATTACAATAAGTATCGATAATTAAAAATTGTTTTATAGCACTTTGGCTTTAATACAGTGGCCATATGAAAGCCAATTGTTTCATTTAGAAAACAGTCATTTGTAACAACCATTCCACTGTTACAAATTTATATTTAAATTTATGATGCCTAATATTTCTTCACACAAGGGATTATGCTCTTTTGGATCTGACGTGACGTGACGTGACGTGACATGTGGCCAAGTATGGTTACCCATACTAGGAATTAGTGCTCTGCATTTATCCCATCCTAAGTGCACACACACAGCAGTGAACACACACACACCGTGAACACACACCCGGAGCAGTGGGCAGCCATTTATGCTGCGGCACCCGGGGAGCAGTTGGGGGTTCGGTGCCTTGCTCAAGGGCACCTCAGTCGTGGTATTGAAGGTGGAAGAGAACGCTGTACATTCACTCCCCCCACCTCCAATCCCTGCCGGTACGAGACTCGAACCCACAACCTTTGGGTTACGAGTCCGACTCTCTAACCATTAGGCCACGACTTCCCCACTGATGTCATAAACCAGAACAATGACAGTAACCACGCCCACCAGAGCAGAGAGAACCAATCAGATCACAGCTTCAATGAGTCTGAGGAATAAAAACACAAAACTGAGATCAGCTCAATGCCATACCTGAACATTTGGGACAGAGTTGAGTGATGTCCAGATGTTGAGTCTGGTTGCTGATGGGATTGTTGAGCACACAGCTGTAGCTGTTTTTCTTTTCATGATATTCCACCTCCAGAGGTAGAGAGAGACTGATGCTGAGATCAGACACACTGATGCTGGACAATAAACTGTTTCCTTTGTACCAGGAGAGAGTCACATCACTCACATTCACCACTGAACACAGCAATGAACATGATGATGATGATGAAAAACAATGTGAAGAGTTACTGCTGATGACGGGTACAGGCAGACGAGCTGGAAACATGAGAGAATTAAGAGAAATATTCACTTATTTTCAGTTTAGTGTGCTGAGTGAGTGTTTATACGGTCTGTCATTTCAAACTACAAAATTATTTAACAATTCAGTATGTAAATAGACAATGAATTAAGAGTACTTGAAGGACAGGACAAATGATCTCTACTCACTGTAGACAGAAACGCTGATTATTTTTGATGAATATAATCCTCCAGTTCTCCGTAGTCTATAACTTCCAGCATGTTCAGTTCTGATGTTTGTGATGGTCAGAGATCCAGTTTGTTTGTCCAGCTTCAGTCTGTCTCTGAATATCCCGTCATGAACATCCTCATATACAGTTATTCTGTCATCACGTTTATTGAACTCAACTAAATTAATTAATAGAAAAATCCACTCAATCTGATCCTCATCTGTTATTTTAGTGAGACCAGAGTTTAGAGTCACTGAATCTCCCTCCATCACTGACAAGGGCTTCGCTGCATCATCACCAAACACACACAGAGAACAAACAGAAAGAGGGTTTGTCACAGATTAAGACTTTTAAATAACTTTATGATTGTTTACAAAAGTAAATAGTTTAAAATTTAAATAAAAAAATTAATTAAAACAGAACGGACACAAAATGAGCAAAATGGTGTGTGGATTAATTTTGTATCTGGTGATTAAAAAATAAAACAGGTGAAACATATATTTAACTCACAATTGACATTGAGATAGAAAGTTTTCCTTTTTTGTCAGTTGATGTGTAGATAATACTTTCCAGCATGTTCAGCTGTGATGTCTGTGATGGTCAGAGATCCAGTTTGATTGTTCAGCTTCAGTCTGTC